AGTACAGTTGATATTCAGTAGTTTGGAAAATTGTGTGACAGAGAGGTATTTGCAAATAGAGAAGCGGAACTTATTTATATTCATAGATGCCCTTATTGTGAGAGGTAACCTATTCCATACGTGTGCGTATCTGTAGAGGTAGAAGTTGGAGCGAACACTACTGCGCGTTCTTGGTAGGATAATGGAGTGGTGTCCACCACGTAGGGGTACGAAGTGATATATGTGTCTGAGACAGGGGTTAGTTAGCTCCCAGTAGGATTGTTAGTGAGCGAGCGTAGGAAAAACAGGTTGGTATTCTGCCGGCGCAGCCATAACGGGTGGAGCTTAAGTGTGTTACATCGATCACGGTGGCTTGAATTGAGTGCCCCAGGAGGCGTTTTGTGAAGGTACGCTGCACCTTTTCGAGAGATATTCTGTCGCTTTTTCTGAGGTTGGTGAATACTATAGGGCAGTGTTCTAGCAGAGGCCGGGCACATGTTTTGTAGAGAGCAGTTCTAAATTCCTGTACTGTCATGGTTTTGAGGAGGCATCCGATGAGAGAGCGTGCTTCAGCCGCGGAATAAACTACTTGTTTCGAGAAGTTCAGCGAACAAGATTAGTGCACGCCTAAGTCACGCACTGTTAGGCAGTACCCTAATGGCGTGCCTTGTAGCATTAAGGTATTGGGTGGCATGGTGCATCTATATGTAAGGACATTGCATTTTGCTGGTGTGAATGCCAACTTCCATGTGTCACACCATGCAACTAGTGCTCCTAAGTCGTATTGTAAATGGGAGATGGCGGTGTGGAAGTTTGACAGATGAAATGGGAAGACAATTTTTATGTCGTCGGCAAAGAGGTAGGGTGTCCCATGTTTGAAAACCTGGAACACCTCATTGATATAGAGCAGGAAAAGTAGAGGGCCTAAAACTCTACCTTGAAATACGCCACTTTTGACTGGTTTTGGAAGTGACATAAAGTCCCCAACCACTACTGACTACGAGCAAGCTGTAAGATATTATGAGAACCAAGTGTGCAGTTTGCCGGAGATACCGTATGCTTCCAGCTTCATCAAGAGTTCTGTATGTGGTACCCTGTCAAAGGCTCTTGCCATATCTAGGAAGACTATGGATAATGCTTGCTTGTTGTCAATCTGTTGAGTTACATGGTTGAGGAACTCAAATTGACAGGTCCGACAGAATTTAGACGGCAGAAATCCATGTTGTTGTCGGTTGACGAGGTTACGAGTAAGCGGGAAGGTGAGAATGGTTTCTTTGACTATTCGTTCCATTAATCTTGAAGCAACATGCGTGTGGCTGATGGCGCGATAGCTTCCCATGTTCTGCTGACTGCTCTTTTAGTATTTGAGGATGACGGTGGCATGTTTCCATGTAGTTGGATAAATCCCATTTGTCATGGAAAGCATGAATAGGTTAGGAACTAGAACTGGAATGTCCTGGCAACCGAGTATCAGCAACGCGGAGGGGAGACCATCGGGACAAGGATGTGATGACCATTTGACTGAGCTGATTACTCGAGTGATAGAACGCATGTCAAACGTAATAGTGTCGAGTGAGTCATTGGTGCGTCTAGCTGGCATAGCAGGTGAGGTTCCATTATCATCTGCAAAATATTGCAGAAGTATCCATTGAGGGTCTCACAATTTGTGTTGGATCGCTAATAACGGATGTGTCAGGAAGTCTGAGCGAGACAACCGGCATAGATTTTTGATTGCTTCTGTCGGAGCAGTTTAATAATTGACTTGGTTTTATTGTTAGATTTAAGGGCAGCATCTTTTTCAGCAATCTTGGCTGATTCCTGCACAGATTGCCAGTTGGTTAGGATTTCGTTCAGGCGAACAAGGACGTGGAATTCCTTAGTTTTGGAGTAGCGCTGGCGTATTTTATGATCTTCCTAAGTACGCCGTAGGCCTTCGCTGATTTCGCTGTCATCTTTAAGCGGCTTCTGCAAGTAAGTGGGGCGATCACATCTAGGCAGCTGAAGAGATTTAGCTATAGGACGTGTGCGGCTGCGTCTACATTAGTAGCTAAAAAGAAGTTGTTCCAGCTCGTAGATCGCGCTAATATCTCAAAGCCGTCCCAGTTAAGTGGTTGAAAATTCGAAACTGTTTGACCGAAGAAGAATTGGCGCAGTGTGGAGTAGAAAGTGTAACTATGAGTTTGACCACCTTGTGGTCGCAGCCATGTATATTATCTATTATACCAGCAACTTCATCAGGGACACCTTCCGTACAGACTAAGTCTAGGGTGTTAGAAAATCTGGTGTGATCGTGAGCTTGTTGAGTCCAGTTATTTGCGTGGACGGTGTCAATAAGACTTCTGAATCTGAGTGGGGCAACCTGGTCGTTCCAGGGGATAAGTGGCATATTGAAATCGCCACCCACTATCTTGTGACGTGGGGGTATTAGGGAGATTTCAGTGGAAAGCTCAGTGAGTTTAGTAATCTTTTCGCTAGATGTGTGGAGGGTTTTATACGCAACCGATAAGGAGGTCAAGTTGACCTGTCGTCTGGATCCAGACGGAGTCTTCAGGGTCACCTATAGAAGCAGTTCGAAAGCGGGTGCACCAAAGTCGCCCCGGACATTGATGAGGCAACCTCCACCCCGCTGGTTCTCTCGTCCGTTACAGAATGTGGTGTAGCCATGGATGCGTAGTAGGCTGTCAGAGGCATTTGAGGAGTGCCACGTTTCTGTGATGAGAACCAGCTGTGGATATGAGAGTAGGATAATTGGGCCATTGAGGTGCATCTTGTTTGCAATAGATCGCGCATTAATAAGCAGCATACTGTATGCTTCAACGCAAGGAGATTTGAAGGAGTCAGATTGTGTGAGGTAAGTTGCACAATAGGGTGCAACTGGCTCTGGGTACATGGAAGTGGTAAAAATGGTGGAGAGGGTGATATAGGAATGTGATCAGGAAGTGATTGAGTAGGTGGCTGATGGCAGTTGGCCGCTGATGAGGCTGTTGTAATATTATTGAGAGTAGAACCTATCCAGAGGGCTGTTGTGAGGAGCCTGGGATACTAGTCGTTAAGCAATGACAAGTAAGATGTGTCAAATACGACAGTATAGAAGTCGGAGGCGACTGAACCCAACATATATTGTGCAGGCTACAAGAATAGGAAGCGAAACAGCCAGAGCGAGAAACGTGCAGCGAGGTACTCACCAACACGGTTTGTGTCCACGGATGTGCAGTCATTATAACACGTGGATGTTTCTAAGGTTAAAACAACCGTAAAATCCGATGTTACAAATTACTGAAAGAGCCTGTTTTCCGGTACACTACAGGGCTAAAGCCAACCGTTGTTGGTTAGTCGCAGTGAACGTTGTTGTTGGAGTTAATAGGGAGCTGGCTAAAACTCTTGGTGGAATGGGCGAGGTGGGTCGTTTCCTGTTGCATCCCATAAAAAGGGGCCGTGGATGGCAAGGCCCGGTTGTAGTGCTTGTCATCCAGCTATATTTTTCGTTCATGAGAGCGGATGATCAGGGAGTGCGGGGCAGTGTCGGTGGAGCGGTAGAGATTTTCCGAAGGTCGTCGTCCTTGGGACGGTGTAGGACTAGATAATACTAGTCCGAGGCGGTGCGCGAAAGTAAGCGCGGATATCAGAAGGCAATGGAAGTTGGACACAGCGGATTGTATTCTATGGGCTACAATAAGAAGCGGACGGATGAAGCGAGGCGAGGGCGGACACGTGAGCGCGGGGATTTCGAATGCTGTTGAGTGATGAGCCGGTTGTAAGGAAGATTAAAACAAAAAGGAGTAATGTACAATCTGTAAACAATTAAATTGTACATGAAAGATAGCAGTTACCTTTTAGGGCGCTACAGAGCTCCCCCAGAATGCTGGAAATAGAAAGCCTTCGAAATCGAAAAGGACTGTTGAAACGAAATTCGTAAGGCAAAATGGTGCAGAGTAAAAAATGAATGAGCGTTCGTGGCAAGTGGGGGGTTCGTCGGCAGTCGCAGTCCGCTGTGCCGTTTGTGATTTGTTATTTACTGATTGCAGGGCAGAGTGCATTTCGGCGAGCCGTTGGAGCAGGCTTGTCGGCTACAAAAAACGGACTAGTCCAGAAAAACGCCGACAGGACCTCAACCTCCGCTGCTGTCAAAAGTTGAGCTTGGGAGTGGTCTCTCCTCCAGCCGTATCCTGCCCTGCGCCAAATCGACGATCGTTTCACGAAGAAACGACGCTCGTCCCGTGGAGAAGCGACAACCGTTCCGTGGATAAGCGGCAGTCGTCGCGCGGAGAAGCTAAAAGTGATTGCACCAGGGTCCTCGAAAACATTCCTCTTGTGGGCCGGTCGATCGAAGGAAGGGGTTTGGGGCATGCAGAGAAGAGAAAATAGAAAAACAAGCGCAGGGAACGCCAAAAAGTACAATTGAATGAGCAGCGTGTTAAAAATGTTAGTTTTTGAATATTATTTCGAAAAATAAATAAATAAATAAATAAATACTTTATTCTCGACTATGCGAGGCACGCCCATGGAGGCATGATCAGATATGTACAACTGTACAAATATTTTATGGCAACCGTGACAGCAATAGTAGAAAATTGGTGGTATGTTCGTGGTAAAATAAATAAATAGATAGTTTATTCTCAGCTTCATAGAGACGCACCAACTTAAGCATGATCAAGGTTTAGAACTGTTGTGTATCACGACGATACTCCGGGTTCAATCGTGTATAGTTGAAACGGTGTCAAGAGGAGTTGATATGTGAATCTAGTCGACTTGCCAGTATGTAGTTGTGGGCTGTGACTTTATTCAGTGGCGAGTCACATCCGCCACGTCGCAGTGTCGTTAAACAGACATATGTGGCTTTTTATAGGGAGAACGCTTGCCAGGCGAAAACCCACCACGTCCTGCAACACTGCCTTAAAGCATTTTGAACATTAATGTTGAACTGGCAAAGCCGCTTGACGACTGGTTTCACATTCGGTTTTTCGCGGGGTGATGGCTTCTAATTTCCTCTGTTAGTTGGACGGGTATTTTGCTCTGGGTCGCCATGATTTTTTGGGGTCGCTGGAGGAGAGGGACATCGCGATTTTTCTTCTTGTTGTATGTCCAGGTGAGCAAAAGTTTCAATTTTTCCGCTGTTCAGATTTTTCAGATGTATAATGTATGGGAGTATGAGGATGTGTCCAGTTCTCCATACTGGACAAGGGTTATGATGATTGTAGGTTGGTCCTTGCGGAGTTTTACTATCCTCCATGTCAGTCCTTGTGGGTTGTTCCGTCCGTCTTGGGCAAAATTGTTCCTCAGTCCAATCCCAGATCTCCAAGATGTCCCGGACCTCAGAGAAAAGGGAAAGTGGGAGACAACCGAGAGAAGACCGCAAGAACAGGCATGGAATTGAATATTGTTAGTGTCTTGTGTTATAAAATTTGGGCTGGAGACAAAAGCATGTACACTGTGCAACAATAATTATGCTGAAAATGTCTTTTGAGTATCCTATAGAATCATTAGCCGTATAGGTGGATTGCTATCGCCTGCGTAGGGACAAGAGCGTTGCACCAGTAAGTAAGGTACGAGTATCCATTTGATATGAGTCGATAGTTGCGTGGGGATAGTGCAAAGGGAGTTAGAATGTTGGTAGTTATTGTCAGGTGCATGAACAGCACGTAGTTAGTGTAATCCGAGAGAGGGGCATAATAAGCGAAAATAAATAGGTTGCTGCGAGAGAGTCTTAAAGCTCAATTGGTGGCAGGGCAGCGGAGGGACTGTATGCAGATATTCTAGAGGAGTAGAGGTTAATCAGATACGGGGTGGCTCCTAACAAGCACTGGATCATCGCATATGCATGGGGCCGATGGCCATTAGCTACTTCTGAAGAGAAATGCCGAATTTATGACGACCGACAGATGTTGGCGCTAGGAGTGACTCAGTCGCCAGATGCAGCTATTCCAATCAGACGCTTTGTCACTAGTGTATGCCTATAGGGTCGATGAGTGTATCTATGGGCCAGTGAAGGTAAGTGATAGGTCAACAGATCAGCTAAGCTGTGACGCAAACAATCCAAGAGAATGAACATTGTAAGAGTGAACGAGCTCCGGATATCCGCAGAGTTGAGTGGAAGCTATGACGACTAGCTGCTGGTAAGCAGAGATAGTGTCTCTAGGAAAAAATGAATCAGTGGCTGCTGTAGCCATAGTATTAAGGCGTTTGTCTACTAATGGATACCTACAGCTTTGTTGAGGAGGTCAACAGGCAAGCGAGGTTTAAGAGTGACATACGGCAGAAGAGAATGAAGGCTGGAGAGTCAAGAAGTGGCTCCTTGTAGGCTACATGGAGCCAACAATGTCTAGCTATTGTCAAGAAAAGTTGAGGCGAGTAAGATGAACGACGGATAATGGCGCGCTAGGAGAGAGAAGAGTGACCAGCAATAGAGTTTGGGCTAAGCCTTCAGTAACTAGTGGATCCTACGGTGGCACATAATAGGTCGGCAAACCATCTGAGCTGTAAAGTAAACATTCCAAGTGAGTTAATATTGTAAGAAGGGAGCGACTCCCACAGAGCTCCGGATATCAGCAGAGTTAAATGGAGGCTATGGCGACTAACTGATGCTAAGCAGAGATATTGGCTTTGGAAAGAGTGAACCAGTGGCTGGTGTAGCCATAGTATTAAGACGTTTGTCCACTATTGGATACCTACAGCTTCGGTGAAGAAATCAACATGCGAGGGAAACTTAAGAGAGACAGAAGGCACAAGAAAATGAGGGTTGGAGAGTCAGGGAGTAGCTACTTGTAAGCTACATGGAGCCAACAATGATTAGCAATTGCCAAGAAGAGTTGACCAGAGTTGGGTAACGGCGCGCTAGTAGAGAGATGAATAGCCAGCATTGTAGTTCGGATTAAGCCTTTGGTTTCTAGTGGATGTTTTTGATATTTTTGTTTTTTTCAAAACGGTACTCGGTTAAAAATGGGGCAAATATATACAATATGTACAAAACTAAAAGTATTTACACTGAACATAGTCGGAGAAACGAACGGGCTTACGCACCTCCCGACCACGGTGATTGGTCGTGGGAGGCGGCAGACTAGATTCGGGAAATGTGGGGATGGCTGAAGCTTGTAGACCGAGATCGTGGTCAGGTTGACCGCACTAGGCTGTTGAAAGCTGGTGCGGTGATTTGTGACGTCGCATGAAACATCACTGGACGAAGTAGGTGAGGCGGATTCTTCCATAAAGGCGGGTTTTAGACAGTCGATGGTGACGGCTTCGCGTCGACCACCGCGGTCCGTTGTGTACGCCTTACTTGCACGTTGTAGCACCTTAAAAGGTCCCATGTACGGCGACTGAAGAGGCTGTCGAACACCGTCTGCACGAATAAGGACGTGTGAACACGTAGACAGCTTCTCGGGCACGTACCCTGGTGTCTTCTGCGATCGAGGAGCGGGTAGACGTAGCTCACGCATCTGGTGAGCCAATCGACCAGTGTAACTTCCGTAGTCAAAAGTGGAAGCACATGGGGCTGGTGATACCAGCTCTCCGGGCAACGGCAGCGTGCAACCGTAGACTAGCTGCGCTGGTGTGGCGTCGAAATCGGTTTTAACCGTGTTTTTGATCATAGGAGAACGTGGGGCAGCGCTTCAGACCATGAAGGAGCTGCGTGCGTACGTAGCGCTGCCTTCAACTGGCGGTGAAAATGCTCCACCCTGCCGTTAGCGGCCGGATGATACACCGTCGTCTGGACGTGGCGGCAGCCTAAATCCTTAAGCAACGTGGCAAATGTTGACGAGAAACGTGACCCTCGATCGGTGGTCACGATGGCGGGACAGCCGTATTGAGCTACCCAGCGCTCCAGAAAAGCTAGCACTACTGTTTCCGATGAGCGGTTAGGTATGGGAATAGCTTCCGGCCACCTGTTGAATCGATCGACACAAATCAGTAGATAAAGAGCATTTTGAAGGCGGAAGCACACCTACGAGGTCGGCGTGCACTTGATGAAAACGTGCGGCTGGCGTCGGAAACGTGTCTAACGGGCTTCTCCTGTGTTTCTACACCTTCGCGCGTTGACACGGAAGGCAAGAAACTGCCCAAGTACGGACGTCCCGATTAATATTGCGCCAAACGAATCGTGCGGTTACGAGTTTAACCGATGCACGAACGTCTGGATGAGACAAGCCGTGCAACGGGTCGAACACGGTCTGCCGAAACTCGTGTGGGACGACTGGGCGCGGCGTGCCGAGGGATAAACCGCAGAGTGCAGTGCCGTCTGCTGATGTCAGCGGAATGGGTAGTATGTCCAATGAGGAAGACCTGCGTAGTAGATCAACCTCAGGATCGCTGAGTTGTGCTGTGACCATGGCTGCCAAGTCGATAGCAGTGCCGGCGTCAGGGGAGATAGCTTGGATGCGGGAAAGTGAATCGGCGACGGCGTTATGCACACCTGAGACATACCGTATATCGGTCGTAAACTGAGCGGTATAGTCAAGGTGGCCCAAATCGCTAGGAGATTATCGGTCGGTAGTCGAGCCGAGCGCGTAAGTCAGGGGTTTGTGGTCGGTGAAAACGGCAAAGGAGCGGCCTTCTATGACGTGTCGAAAGTGACATATCACTAAATACACGGCTAGTAGTTCTCTACTAAACGTGCTGTAGCGAGATTCGGTAGGTTGTAGGCGTTTGGAAAAAAACGCTAAGGGCTGCCACGTGTCGGCTACTCGTTGCTGCAAACAGCGCCGACTGCCACGTCCGAGGTGTCAGTACTAAGGGACAGTGGGTTGGCCGGATCGTGATGCGCTATAGAAGCTATGTTGGCGATAGCCTCTTTCAGCGACTTAAAAGCAGCGGGTGCTGCGGCAGGAAATTCGAACTTCTTGAGTTTCCCTCGGAGAAGGTCCGTGAGGGGTTGCATCAGCGAGGCGCAGTTGGGTATAAATCGTCGGTAAAAGTTGACAAGGCCATCAAAACACCTGAGCTGTTTGAGAGAATGAGGCACAGGGTAGTCGATGATGGTTGGAGTTTTATCCTGCATTGGCACGACGCCTGCAGAGGAGATATGATGGCAGAGGAAGTTGACTGAATCGACACCAAGCGAACACTTTTCTGCGTTTATCGTCACTCCGTTTTGAGATAAACGATCAAAACTTGTTCGTATGTGGCGTATGTGTTCTTCTCGTGAAGAGCTTGCGATTAAAATGTCATCGAGATACGCGTAAGCGAAGTCTAAACCGCGACAAAATTGGTCGATGAAGCGCTGCCAAGTTTGTGCGGCATTCTTTAGACCAAATGGCATGCGCAGAAACTCGAACAAACCAAATGGAGCCGTCACGGCAGTCTTAGCGATGTCCGCTTCGGCTACCGGAATTTGGTTGTATGCGCGTACCAAGTCGATTTTGTTGAAGGTATTTTTACTCGCTAGCCTGGCGTTGAGATCCACTATGTGTGGGATCGGATAGCGATCGGACGTGGTAACTGTATCCAAGTTTCGATAGTCGTCGCAAGGACGCCAGTCCCCCATGATCTTCTTCGGGCCAATGTGCAGTGGTGACGCCCATGGGCTGTTAGACGGTCTAACGATACCAAGCTGAAGCAGGTGGTCGAATTCAGCTCGTGCTGCACGTAGATTGTCAGGAGCAAGCCGTCTTGGTCGTTCGCTAACTGCCTGGCCACGCGTGACTATGTGAGGAGCGACCTCTGTCGTGACTGGCGGAAGCTCTGCAGCTGGTCGTACCAGTCGTGGGTATTCGGAAGCAGGTTCGCATAATTCGTTGGTAAATCGGCGATTCGAAAAACGGGACTGATTAGCGGGGCGTCCGTAAGAACGCCTTCAACCCTATTTTAGTAAGGTCGTCTAAAAGTCTGTGGCGACCAGTATCAACAAGTAAGCCAAAATGTCGGAGGAAGACGATACCGATAATTGCGAACGGTACAGACGCAAACAATAAGACCCACCGAAAATCTCGGCGACGATTGAGGTCCAGGTTCATCATGCGCTGACCGTATGAAGCTATCGGAAAACCGTTGGCCGCACGCAAATTGTACTTAGGCTCTGAGTGCTTGTCGTTAGCGGTCGCTGGAAAGACGCTGACATCCGCTCCCGTGTCGATGAGGAAGGTAATGGAAGGA